TAAACTCTGCCCTACCATCTCCTCTCCAAAAATCCAAAGACCAGTGCTGTAATGTAAACACTTTCATTTTTTGCTCCCCAGCTAGTCAGGTACCTTTTAACTGTTCAAATGTAGGGAACTAATGGGCTGACATGCTTCTTATTTGTAAATAAAAATTACCCACCAAGCTCTCTGTGTAGCTTACTAACAGCATGTTATAATAAGATAATCCTGCTGTAAATTCAGTATTGTCTGAATCTAGGTGCTGTTTCACACCTCGATACCACACACAGTTTAGGGCAATACAAAAAGAAGTTACAAAAATTGTAACCTGCATGTCTCCTGGCATACATTATTGATGGATGTATTCAAACCAAGGGTTAAGATGAACCCTAGAAATCCCTTCAATCCTCTATTCTTCAGATTGTTATTATTATGCAAGATGACTCTATGCACTAGTATTTCACTAAGATTTTGAATTCACCTACATTTCTTATTCTTCTTCCATCCTGTCAATATATACTATAAATCTCCAAATAGTTCCATCTATCAAGAACAGTAGCTACTTCCTTATCTTACCTGTCATATTGCACGTCCTCTGATTACTTTCAAAATGATACTGCCTTCGCGCTTGGGCGATGTATTCAGCTGCCTCTCGTTCTTGGATTTCTCTGATTTTCTTCTGCCCATATTTTCCCAGTAAATAGACTCCTACAGAGAGATTTTCATATTACAAGCTGCTTTAAAAACGTGAGGAAGGCCCCTTCAGCCCCATTCTTTGATTTTCAAACACAAGGGTGCATAGTGGGTTTTTTGGGGTATGTGGCTGTTGAGTATTTTAATACTGATTGATAAAGTCATACTCAGAAATAATGTTTTCAAAATTAATTAAAATTGTCAATGGTAATGACTTGAATAAGTGTAAGAAACTTTCCCAAGAAGAAATATCTTGCCTTTCAACGAAGGCATTTCTGGTACTACTGCAACGTGAACAACTAGTACTGAAGACGCTGAATCAAATATTGGGAAGAGAAAAAAATGCAGGGTAACAAAAACGAAGACTAGAGAAAAGAAACTGAAATGTACAGGTCTGGAGATGGATGAAAAGATATCTTTCTAAAATTAGCAGAAGTTAGAGATAAAACTCAAGTCTTAAAAATCACATAAGTAAAAAACGTTACAGACCAACACTTCCTTCATTTGGTCCTGAAATTTGTCCGTAGAAAGAACCTTAGCTTCAGTGGGGCTTGACTATGGCCCTCTTCTTACCATGCCTGGTTCGTACTCTCCAGCCCGGCTCTTCTACCCTTGCGGATCTAATTGTCTTATCACCCTCACTGTGAATCTCCATTTCCACAAAGACCCACCAAAAATTTTTGCTCTACATTTCCTCCTCTTTCAGCATACATCCCTTTGAAGTTTCCCCCAGCTGCTCTTCGCACAATCCCAGGGGCTCAGCGATCTCTCCGGGCTGCCCACTGCCCTCCTCTCATCTTTCCTCAGCTCCATCCTCCTTTCTAAGCCATTCCTCAAGATACCACTACATCTTCTAGCCTTATCCTCATCACCTCTGCCCGCTGCAAGCTGCTTTGCATGAATTTCTCCCCCTCCACCCAGGGCTTCTCATACCACCTCCTGTGCATCAAGTTCATTTGCTGCCTCCTGTATGCACCGGTACCAGCAGTTACCTATTCAGATGCGTAACAAGCTCTTCCCATGTTCTCTCATGGAAGAATTGAGGTGACGGATGCAGTGTTAAGGGAGGAGCAAACCCAAGCAGAAAAGACTATTGTACAAGTTGATCATCTTCTGTCCACTGGGGAGCAATCCTCCAAGTACTGAAACTCCTCTACAGAGTGCCAGCTCCGACTCGGTCAAGCCAGTAACGGTACACAGAAGAAATCTGAATGTCAAATCAGGCCTTTATTTTTTTCCACCAACACAAGATAAAAGTCACAAACACAGAGCTACAAAGTTTTCTTCAAGTCAGATTTTCACATTTCGAAATGAATATCTGAATGAATGAGGCATTTAACAGTTGCTGAAAGTTTCAAAACTATTCGTATAAGCCCGATCCACAAAAACTAGAAAAAGCCCTCCACACTCCCCAAGATTTTGAATTCAGCTGCATTAAAACCTTTCAATACATCCTCCAAAACTACCATCAGCATTTCAAAAGGCTTGTCAACTTTGGGCCCAAATATTCATGGCTGCAAAAAAATCTGGCTATTCATATCGACTTTATGCTTCCTAATAGGCAACTACAAGCCAGACCAGTCTGGAACAACCACAGTAACTTCAATTTATTTCTCAAAAGCCTCATAAAATAAAAATGGGGAGGTCATTCACTCTTGCTTCAGCCTTTAGGCGGACTGAGCATTTGCCATGTGGAAGATCTACCCCATTAGATGCAAATTTTAATATTATGGTTCCATATACATAAAATGCAATTTTACCACTGTAAATTGTTAACCAAAATGAGACTTCATAAACAACAATTAGATTATTTTGCTCTAAGAAATCATCAATTCCTGCCAAGAATATGTATTTAGAACCCAACTATCAGGGTATATTTTTTTTCCCAGCTAACATACTGAAACAGCAACAATTTTTTTAGTATTAGCAACTAATTTTTGAACACAAGATTTTTCCAATCATTTTATCCCACCACATTTTTCACATTATGTTCAAACACAGTCATTTGGACAAATGACTACTTGTGTTTATTATTCTCCCCCAAAAGAAATCCTTTAACTTCAGGTTTTGTGGCAGAAAGGTCTCAGAAGTATTAAAAAAAAAAGCTTCCTGCATGTACAGAGGACACAGGCAATCGTGCAAACAATTCAGGAAGAATCACGTGCATGCCCTTGAGTGATATGCTGGAGCAGCACCTTTATAATTAAGATTGAAACACCTAATTGCTTAATACTCAAGTTGTTAAAGCTGTGTGATTACTCTGTACTACGAACTGCTGCGCCTTGTGAAGGTTCAAAGTTGCATTAGCAGTCAGCCAGGTTTAACAAAGAGTTTCCAGAAAAAACACTTGTGTAAAATGATGCAACACCAGCCACTAGTAGTCTTATTCCTCCCCCCCTCCCCTGAACTAAGCTGTAACTTTGACCCAGCACTAACAGATGTTATTTACCCCGCTATCATCTTCATCTTTGGGAATGCGGCGCATTAGAAATTCACCAAAGTAAAAGTTACACCATTCACACAGCTTAAGCAAAGCCAATGAACAACAAAAAAGTCTGGATGTCAGCAGCAGACCACCCCTGTCACTCACTGCACAGCTTGCAAGTGCCTCCAAGTCTCCTGGAGGACACGCACCGCACTTGGGAAATTCGAGTCTCGTTCCTGACAATGAACTTCTGCCCACTAGTCAGTGCCTGAATGCAGCATCAGAGCCTCTCCAGGTCTCCGGCTTATGGGACATCTCAAGGAGCTTCCAGCCTGGGAGTCGGTCTGCACATGTGTTCACGTTTTACTTTGGAACTGCCATGTGTACCTACATTGACACCCGTAGCATTAATTCAGAAGGTTTGAAAATAAGAAAGACTTCTAAGAAGTCCAGGCTGAATCACAGGATGGTTTGGGTTGGAAGGGACCTTAAAGATCATCTAGTTCCAAGCCCCTGCCATGGGCAGGGACACCTTCCACTAGCCCACGCTGCTCAGCGCTCCATCCAGCCTGGCCTTGAACACTGCCAGGGAGGGGGCAGTCACAGCTTCTCCGGGCAACCTGTTCCACTGCCTCACCACCCTCACAGTGAAGAATTTCCTTCTTATATCTAATCTAAATCTACCCTCTTTCAGTTTAAATCCATTACCCCTGGTCCTATCACTACAGGCCCTTGTAGAAAGTCCCTCCCCAGCTTTCTTGTAGGCCCCTTTTAGGTACTGGAAGCGTGCTATAAGTCCTCCCTGGAGCCTCCTCTTCTCCAGGCTGAACAGCCCCAACTCTCTCAGCCTTTCCTCACAGCAGAGGTGCTCCAGCCCTCTGATCGTTTTTGTGGCCCTCCTCTGGACCTGCTCCAACAGCTCCATGTCTTTCCTATGCTGAGCTGGACACAGGACTCCAAGTGGGGTCTCACCAGAGCGGAGTAGAGGGGCAGAATCACCTCCCTCAACCTGCTGGCCACGCTGCTTTGGATGCAGCCCGTCATCACATGAAAACATTGTCACTTTGAGTTGGAAGCAGGACCAGAGAAAGCCACATCCCATGAAGTGCCATCATGTCAAGTCAGCTAACCTACCTGTAAGAAACCAAACTGGCATTTTGAAAGTCTCTTGCTATAAACAGGCAAAGTGGACACCAACTTTCTACAATAGCTAATCTAAGTCAATTTTACCTCTCAGTATGGGATAGGAGGTCTGCAAAAAGTGGCAGCATCAACATTTTACTCATGTCTAATTAGCTAAACCATGGTATAGCTGGAACTTTCTACTGAATCTTTCCCATATGTTCTTAATTCCTGGTTTTCTGTGGAAAAGTCAGAAATAATGTGACTGCCCAAAAGATAATTTCTATGTAAACTTTTTCCTGCCTTTATTAAAATGTAAACTATGCTAACAACTGTAGTCCAAACACTTCTGATTCACGGAGGGTTCACAAACAGATGAGTGGTACAAACTAGGATTACATCACCTGATGCCAGAACCTTCAGGTACAGGAACCTCAATAAGGATCTTGAACTACAATTCATAGTGCTTTAAAATTTATCTACAAAGGGAAATGTATTTACATTCGTATTGGCTGTCTGTGCTGGTTTTGGCTGGGGTAGAGTTAATTTTCTTCATAGTAGCTAGCATGAGGCTATGTTTTAGATTTGTGCTGAAGACAACACCAGTAATACAGGGGTGTTTTCATTACTGCTGAGCAGGGCTTACCCAGAGTCAACGTCTCTTCTGCCTCTCACCCCACCAGCAAGGAGGTTGGGGGTGCACAGGAGGCTGGGAGGGGACATAGCCGGGACAGATGACGGCAATGGACTGAAGAGATACCCCGTGCCGTACGGCGTCATGGTCAGCAATAAGACTAGTGGGGGAGGTTGGCAGGGGGGGCTGCTGCTCAGGGACTGTCTGGGCATCGGTCGATTGGTGGTGAGCGATCATTTTCATTTGCATCACTTGTCTTTCTTGGGTTTTATTTTTCTGTCTGTTATTTCCCACCCTCCCTTTTTTTCCCCTCACAATTTTTTACTATCATTATTATTTATTTTTTAAATTATGTGGCCGGGGTTAAACCCCGACACTGCCCTGCAACACTGGGAACACCTCAGGTCTAGGGTACCCATACCCAGCAGAAGCAACACTTTAATCTGTTAATGGCGAATTGAGATAAATATGCTCTAATTCTCTAATTTGTCTCTGCAGCCTTCTTCAGCTATAGCATTGTATAGTCTCTTCCCATCTAAATATAAGCAATGGGAGCAGCTTACAAAATCTGCAGGCTCTTACATATTCGTGCCAGTGGCCTCAAACAGGTAGGATATTTCTCACATCACAGAAGTTACGGCCTACCTCTCCCTCTGCCCTTTCCTTTCTTCTCAAGTGGAACGAAGAGGTGTGCAGAAGGGTGGCATCAGTAACTAGGAGGCATCAAGGTTTCAGGAAATCTCTTTACAACCCTACGTAACCTTTAGCCTTAATACCATACTTTGCTTCAGAAAAAAACAAATTAAGGGAAAATTTTCAGTTTTAAGAATTTCATTATGTAGAAATTGTGCTGACACACAGAAGCCTGCATCCTTCCAGAACATCGACAGCTCCGTAAGTTGTGGTTTGTCCTTATGTACAAGCAAGCCATGCATCAACTGACATACAACTGTCCCATAGTGGTTGAAAACCATATTTAAAATAAAACGGCACTAAAGCCTTAGTCTCTTGGCACCACAGAGTCCCATCAAAACCTATTTAATGCCCCGTACTCACTCACAAACCAAGACAACCTTTTTTTGCTAAGCAGACAGAATTCTGAACTGAAACGCTCTTTCTGCAAGCTGAAGGTTGCAACAGATGAAATTGAGCCATAATTCCTGCACCACTGAAATCAGAGCCATAAATTGCAGACACACCCTGAACTTGCTCTTCTACTGCAACAAGAGAATTTCAACAGTGGCACACTTTGTGATATCCACTGAAATCTGCCTTGAATGCTGAGCACCGAGATAGAAACTACTTTAAGGTGAATCTACCTATCCAATAAGAACAAGTGAACATAAAACCTCCTTGCAGCTCTGCCATGCTAGCTCGCTCTCTCCTTTAAATATTTCTCGTGGGTTTGATCCCAGAGCGCTAGATTTTGCTTGCTTGAAAAGATTTAAGTCTTTTTAGTATGCAATTTACTTTATATTGCTAAAATAACAGACTTCTGAAGAATGGGTTTGTACCTTTGTAACTTTGCTAAGTTGAGGTCTTCCCAACCCCGCTCTATGCTTAAGGGAAAATTACACCTATTTCAACTGCTTTTCCCTCAATTTGAGCTCTTACTTTATGAGTTTTGTATCTTTGTACGCAGAAAAATCTGTTGCAGTGTTGGGACTGCCAGAAACTACACTCAGAATGACAGCCGCTCATAACACACAAGGAATCCATCTCAGTAAACAGAGGAAAGGCTACAAACTCAGATTTTGGTGCAATAATTCTTCTGTAATACAACACAGATACAAATCGTATCACTAATAATGCAGACTCTTCTGTACAGCCTAATGAATCATTAAACATTCACGTTAATCTCTGACCATGTGCCAGTTAAAAGACTTAAAATCATTAAACCCTGTGATGTCCCATTTTCCTTGTTACATCCTCCTTGCTAGAAAATGCACCTACGGCTCTTAAAAAAACCAAACAAACACCACAGAGATGTAGTAATACCAGTCTCCGGTATTAAATCAGCAGATTTGGATGATTTTATTAAATCATCCAGGCACTTCCAAATATTCTGCCTGCAAGTAAAAGCAGTGACATGAAGTTGCATTCTACCTTTTAAGGTTAGTGACCATTTTTTGTAGGAGAGTGTGTTGTGGATCTCAGAGTTCTGATTCGTTGGTGGTGGCATTACCATAGCTCCTGGAGTTATTTTAGGGTCTGATCCATAACCAATATGTAGATGGCCAAAGCACTCAAGATTCTTCTGCTGAACAACGGTAGTGCAGCACTCTGCGGTAAATCCCTCCATCTCCCAGGCTGCCCTAAAACACCATGGTGCAAGTTGCAGCTGGTGGCAGCTAATGATGTTCTCCTGCTTGACTACAGAGTCTCATATACAAAAAAGCTGTTCGCTACAGAGTTGTCAAATATAACACCGCCTGAGGAAATAGTGACTTGATCCGTGCTGCAGGCAAGACAGCATAGTTCAATATTTTCAGTCAGAAGTTGGAACGCTTGTTACATGTGGAGTATGCTGGGTTTTTTGGATTGGTCATACTTTAAATGACTTTATTTTAGTCCCCGAATTATTTCTTCTTAAGCGTACTTCATCCACTCAGTAGCATTTTAGGGAAAGTGACACTGCACTGTACATAAACAGCACCAAGCATAAGGAAAAAGTTGTAAATTCAGTGATATTAGGATGGTTTGCAGGCTGGCAAAGGGCTGTTTATCATAAAATGGTTTGGGTTGGAAGGGACTTCACAGACCATCTAGCTCCAACGCCCCTGCCATGGGCAGGGACACCTTCCACTAGACCAGGCTGCTCGAAGTCCCCTCCAACCTGGCCTTTCCCGGCGTCCCCGGGAGCCTTCTCGCCTCCAGGCTGAACAACCCCAACTCTCTCAGCCTTTCCTCATAGCAGAGGTGCTCCAGCCCTCAGGTCATTTTTGTGGCCCTCCTCTGGACCCACTCCAACAGCTCCATGTCCTTCTTGTGCTGGGGACTCCAGAGCTGAACGCAGTACTCCAGGTGGGGTCTCACCAGAGCAGAGTAGAGGGGCAGAATCACCTCCCTCGAACTGCCGGCCACGCTGCTTTGGATGCAGCCCAGGATACAGTTTGCCTTCTGGGCTGTAAGCGCACACTGCCAGGTCATGCTGAGCTTCTTGTCAACCAGCACCCCCAAGTCTTTCTCCTCAGGGCTGCTCTCAATCCATTCTCCACCCAGCCTGTATTTGTGCTTAATGATATGCTCATACATGATGAATTTAGGATTTCAGGCTTTGAGGACTACCAAAAGCCACAAGCTCCCAGGTACCTGCTTTCCCACTTGGACATTGATCCATGTTTACTAGCTGAAACTGGGACAACTGATGTTTTTACTATTCCCATTTGTCACCTACCACTCTCACAAAGACAACTGAATGGGAGAGAGAACAGCTTGCAGGTTACAGCCTGCTTAACATGGTGGGCTGTAAGTGTGGTGGCTCAGAAACCGGTAAACATTACGTTCTGCTGTACTTGCAGAGCCAGAACACCTGCAGCTGAGGGGGTGAACTGAAGAAGGGGTCTGACAAGTATTTCAGTAGCCATTTCTCTTATCAGTATTATTTGGCACTCTTTGGAAAAACGCAGAAGGAATTCATGCTGAAAGGATGCAGAGGACAAAACAACCAAGGCAAGTCAGAAGTCCAGGCACAAACTGAAGCATAGGAAGTTCCAGCTGAACACAAGGAAGAACTTCTTCACTTTGAGGGTGACGGGGCACTGGAACAGGTTGTCCAGAAGAACTGTGGAGTCTCCTTCTCTGGAGATATTCAAGACCCGCCTGGACAAGGTCCTGTGCAGCCTGCTGTAGGTGACCCTGCTTCGGCAGGAGGGTTGGACTAGGTGATCCCCAGAGGTCCCTTCCAACCCCTACCATTCTGTGATATACAATTCACCTTCACAGCAGACCTCACCTGAATGCGAGGCAAAGCGTACTCCAAAAGCCCTGTAGCCCTCAGAATACTTAAATGTTCAGGCAAGTTCCAGTGGGTATAAACAAACACAGACTTTCCTTAGCAGCTCTGTAATATTTAATTCTGTGTCTTGCATAAGATATAAGTGGGTCTGATGACTGGGCGTGCAAAGACACGGCTGTATGAGGAGTATCTAATCTCCAGCTGCACAGATATGTGCTTTATTATTAAACAGACAGATCCAAGGTGTTCTTTTAAATCCAATTCCGACTAAAAATAACCCTCTAATAACTCCAAGGAAAGGAGGAGCTTACCAGACCACAACCACCCTACAGGTTAGACCAGAGCCTTCAGGGAGGAAGAACGCCTTCAATAACGAATGTAAATCCTCCTCTCCAGTAAAGTTTTGTGTCTCCGGCAGGTTTATACGTGACAATTCACCTCCACGCACCAGTCGTTTTTAGAAGCGCAGGCTTTCAGCCTCCCTCCTAAACGTAATCACAACGCGAATACCGCCGGCACTTGGCACCGCTACACGTCGTCCCAGACCCACACAAACACCGGCCGCAGCAGCGCCCAGGCAGCCCCAGCCCCCGCGCTTCGGGGCTCGGGGACAACGTGCGGATTCACCCCCCCGCCCGGGGGAAAAGCCCTC